TTGAAAATTGAGCCTCAACAGTATTGAGAACAACTTCCTAACCTTTTACTAATCACACTACAAAGCTTAGAGAGGAAAAAGTGTTACATTCTTCCCCCTTAAAATTGAAAGCATGTTGCAAATGAATAATATAAATGAAAATGCTAGAGAAACCATATATTTGATATCTTCTCCCACTAGCATCACCCCAATACGTAAAAACGTACATAATGTTATAAATAGGTAAAAGTTAGAGAGATAACATTTACTAGTGACAGAAGCGAAGCAGGTGTAAAATATCACACTATAATTGTATTACAAGGGAATGTCTAATAAAAGTGGGAGGAATAGATACTGATGTTAATTATATTCCTTTCTTTCTCTTTTCTATATTTTGATTGCAGTCGAGTGCTCTATTTATAGAGCAACTCGCATTATTACATGTTGAAATTTACATCACATGACTTTGAAAATGCAATCCGTTTGTTTCCAAAGTCTACATCACATTTGTGGGCATTGAAAAACCTATGTGTGGGCATTCATAACAATGCCAATGTTTTCAACACTCTCCCTTGGATGCCCACATATCAACATCAATTGTCTCGTTAAAACCTTGCTTGGAAAAATCCAGTGGGAAAAAACCATAGCGAATGAAAAAGAGTACAACTTTACTTGGATTGCTGATTTACGTTAAATATGCTTATGTTGCCTCGTTAAAACCTTGATAGGAAAAACCCAGTGGGGAAAATCCTAATCGAAGGAAAAAGAGTACAACATGCATGTACCATGGATGCTCCCCCTAATTCCGCATTCTCCAAATTTAGTTGTTTGGTAAGTCGACGTAAACCGATACTTTGCACTAACTTCTGAAACGTGCACATTGGTAGAGATTTGGTGAACAAATCTGCTAGATTTTCATTGGAATGGATTTGTCTGACTTCAATAACTTTAGCCTTCTGAAGCTCACGTGCACTGAAAAACTTTGGAGATATGTGTTTAGTCTTATCGCCCTTGATGAATCATTCATTCATTTGGGCAACACAGGCTGCATTATCTTCATGAATGACAGTTGGAGTGTCTGTCTTTGAAGGTAGACCACATGAATTCTGAATATGATGGATCATTGATCATAACAAAAAACATTCACAACTTGCTTCATGTAAAGCAAGTATTTCTAAATGATTTGAAGATGTAGCAACTAATGTTTGCTTTGTTGAGTGCCATGAGATTGTTGTATCTCCATTCTTGAACACATATCCAGTTTGTGAGCGGGCTTTATGCGGATCAGAGAGAAAACCAGCATCTGCATATCCAACAAGGATCTGGTTATTTGTGGATTTGTTTGAGTAGAAGAAACCCATGTCTGTTGTCCCACGAAGGTATGGCAATACATCTTTGACTCATTTCCAATGATGAATTGTTGGAGCAGAGTTATACCTTGCTAACAAGTTGACTGAAAAAGTTATATCTGGTTTAGTACATCGTGCTAAATACAATAAAGCACATATTGCACTCAAATATGGTACTTTTGGACCAAGAACCAGTTCATCATCTTGTTTTGGACGGAATGGATCTTTCTTAATGTCCAAAAAATGAACAACCATTGGCGTGTTGAGTGGATAAGCCTTGTCCATGCTAAATCGCTTCAGGATTTTTTCAATGCAAGCTGTTTGGTGGACCAAAATTCCACTAGCATAATGCTTGATCTGCAGGCCAAGAACATTTTTTGTTTTTCTAAGGTCTTTCATTTCTAATTTGCTTTTCAGATATTCAGCAGTTTTATTGAGCTCTTCAGGGGTTCCAACTAGGTTCATATCATCGACATATACTATCACTATAGCAAATCCAGAGTTGGATTTCTTAATGAGCACACAAGGGCAAATGCCATTGTTGATATATCCTTCTGTAATCAAATACTCACTGAGATGATTATACCATATTCGTCCAGATTGTTTCAACCCATACAATGATCGCCTTAATTTGATTGAGAGCATACCTCGTGATTTGTTAGTTGTTTCAGACAACTTGAGTCCTTATGGGACTTTCATATATATGTCAGCATCTAATTCTCCATATAGATACACGGTGATGACATCCATAAGTTGTATGTCAAGTTTTTTTGCAACCACTAAACCTATTAAGTAACAGAACGTAATTACGTCTATTACAGGGGAGCATGTATCCTTATAATCAATTACAGGTCTTTACGAAAAGCCTTGTGCAACGAGTCGTGCTTTATATCTTGTAATCTCAATTTTCTCATTGTGTTTCCTTGTGAATACCCATTTGTAACCCACGGGGTTTACACGAGGCGAGGTTTGAACTACTAGTCTAGAAACATTTTGCCTTTCCAAGGAATTTAATTCTGCCTGGATTGCATCTTTCACTTAGGCCAATCTTGTATCTGTTTGCATTCATCAACAGAGCGGGGCTCAAGATCATCACTTAATATGATTTCAGTGGCTATTGCGAATGCAAACGTGTCATCGATGATTATTTCATTCTGATCCCACAATTCATTAGTACAAGCATAATTTATGGACATTTCTTTGTTTTCATTGACCTCTGTTTCTTCAGGTACATGTGTCTCATCAAGAACATTTTCTTTTTCTGAAAGTACAGAATCATGAATTGTAGATGTGTCATTCATTTTTTCTTCTTGAATAATTTCATTTGGATTCAGTTGTGCCCTCGACTTTCTCTTTCGAGAGGCTGAATCTTTTGAACTTAGAGGTCTACCATGCTTCAAGCGTGCACCAGATGAATCATTCGTTGCCACTTTATTTTGTCCAACAGGGACATCAATTCTTGCAGGTGCATTTGCAACTGGTATATGCGATTTTGTCATTTTCATAACATCATTAAATGCATCTGGCATTTGATTAGCAATACTTTGAAGATGAACAATCCTTTTCACTTTATTTTCACATTCAGTGCTACGTGGATCAAAATGAGATAAGATGAGAACAACCCATGTTAGCTCTTTCCGTTCTTCTGGAAAGATCTTTTCTCCCCCTAACGACGGGAAGACTGTCTCATCAAAGTGACAATCAACAAAACAAGCTGTAAACATATCACCTGTCAAGGGTTCTAAATATCTAATGATAGATAGTGAATCAAAACCCACATAAATTCTCAGTCGATGCTGGGGTCCCATTTAAGTTCGTTGTGGTGGTGCAATAGGTACATAAACAAAACAACCAAAAACTCGTAAATGTGAAATGTTTGGCTGATACCCAAACACGAGTTGTATTGATGAGTATTGGTGGTTGGCTATAGGTCTCAATTGAACCAATGATGCAGCATATAAAATGGCATGTCCCTATGCAGAAACTGGCAATTTTATTTTTATAAGCAGAGTGCGGGCTATTAACTGAACCCGTTTGATCAATGCTTCTGCTAAACCATTTTGAGTATGGACATGAGGAATGTGGTGTTCAACATCAATGCCCAATGTCATGCAGTAATCATCAAAAGTTTGAGACATAAATTCACCAGCGTTATCAAGTCGAATTGACTTAATGGGGTAATCTGGGAACTATGCTCGCAACTTAATTATCTGAGCAAGAAGTCTCGCAAAAGCTACATTCTGAGTAGACAAGAGACAAACATGTGACCATCGGGTAAATGCATCAACCAAAAACATAAAATATCAAAATGGTGCACAAGATGGTTAAATAAGCCCACAAATATCCCCTTGAATTCTTTGCAGAAATGATGGGGATTCAGCATCAACCTTTAGTTGTGATGGTCTAATTACCAACTTCCCTTGAGAACAAGCCTTGCAAGGGTTATCATTTCAGATAGCAATGTGTCTGCTCAATAATGGATGTCCATTAGAGTTGGTAATGATTCTACACATCATGGTAGATCCTGGGTGACCCAGACGGTCATGCCAAAGCATGTAAACTTTTGAATCAATGAACTTTTGGTTCATAACAGTATGTGATTCAACTATCTTTATGTATGTATAATACAATCCATTCGTCAAACCACGCAACGTCTCCAATATATGCTTCTGGGTATAATTGGAGGTAATGCATAAATACTCCACATTTTCTGCACTTTTTGTTTCAATGTGGTATCCATTTAAACGTATATCTTTAAAACTCAACAAATTTCAAGCAGATCGAGTAGCGTACAACGCATTCTGTATAGACAATATTGTTCCATTTGGTAACATAATTTGGGCTTTCCCCAAGCCTTCAATCACATCTGATTGCCCTGATATTGTTGTTACCCTTACTTTTGTAAGCATCAATCTTGAGAAATATTTTCGATTTTGAAGTATTGTATGCATGGTAAATGACCATAGTTTTTATCCATGCTCTCTGAGTAAGGGAATCACAGTTAAAAGCAATTTATAATAGGAAATTTAAATGCCACTTTTATTGAATCTGAAATGCTAGTTTTTAAACTACAAGTTCAGCATAATAAAAGTACGTCAAACATCAATGATTCAATCGGACCGGTATACTTAATTTCCCCTTTCCACCATGAAGTCTGAAACCTCTAGGTGGGTTGTGTTCAACTGCCCTAATAAGTCACACACTGGATCAGGTATATCCATTGGTTTAGCCCGGTTGAGAAAATTGGTCTTGACACCCTTCTCCTTGAGGAAGGCTTGATACAGATCCACCAAAGATTTTGGAGTACGACAGGTACGTGCCTAGTGCCCATCGCCACCACACCTATGACATGCTCTATCAGAGTTTCTAGAAGCATTGTTCATACGAGCTTTGCCTTTGTGGCGATTTCCATTTTTGAAGCTGAGCCTGAATTATATATGCCTCGGAACTTGGTTGTGAAACTAGACACCATGATTCTTGCCTTTCCTGTTCCACCGTCCTAACCTGTGGCCACGTCCTCGTTTATGATTATTACCACCAGAGGATGTAGCGTTCACTTCGAGGGGAAGCAACATTCACTTATGGGAATGGTGCAAATCCAGTAGGTCGGGACTGATGATTTTTCATTAGGAACTCATTGTTTTGTTCAGCAACTAAGAGCACAGAGACGAGCTAGTTGTATTCAATAAAGCCTCGTGCTCTATACTGTTGCTGGAGGAGCACATTAGAGATATGAAATGTGCTGAAAGTCTTTTCCAGCATATCTTCCTCAGTAGTGGTATCTCCACAGAGCTTCATCTGAGAGGTACTTTTGAACAACACTGAATTGTACTCAGCCACTGACTTAAAATCCTGGATCCTTAAGTGAGTCAATTTATAGTGAGCCTTTGGAAGAATCACAATTGGCTTGTGATTATATCTGTTTCTCAATGCCTTCCAGAGAGCTAACAGATCTTCAACCGTTAAATATTCGCTCTTTCGTCTCTCATCAAGATGGCTACGAATAAGGATCATAGGCTTCGCCCGATCTTGAGAGGATGAGATGTTTTCTTCTCTATTGGTATCTCCAAGATTCCCTGCTTCTAGATGGATCTTAGTATCCAGTACCCAGGTAAGGTAATTATTCCCAGTAATGTCCAGGGCAGCAAAATCAAGCTTTGCCAAGTTCGCCATTTTTTTTCTTTCTGAAAGAAAAATGAGATGCGTAAGAACTTGCAATAATATGTATTCCTAGAGGTATGTAGTGTTAGAACTTTTGGTTCTTACAAATTTTTCATTTTGATTTTTAGGCCAAAATGATAAGCATTCGAAACTTCTGGCTCGAGATTTACATGATGAATGAGGAGGGCGATTGTACGGCACCATTCTCATTGAAATAACATAACATAGGATGGGCAATTATTCCGCACCACTCAAGTAACAGGAAAATTTAAATATGCAAAGTAAGGTGGGCGATTATACCGCACCAGCTAAAATTGCAATGAAATTAAACAGCAGACAAATTTAAATACGCAGGGTAGGGTGGGCGATTTTACCGCTCCATCTAAAATTTGTAGTAAAATTAGATCTATAGTCCAAGATAGGCGATGATACCACACCATCATGGATCGTAGTAAGATTACATTTGCAGTTCAAGATGGGCGATTGTACCACACCATCTTAGATTGCAGTAAAATTAACATAAATAAACACTTGGTTAGTAATCAAGATGTACACCAAACAAGAAATCAAAGATATATGTAACTGTTAGGTTGAGAACTAAAAGCAGGCATGGTGCAAACAGTTCTTCGCAAGGGTATATCTAGCAGTTGAGGCAGAGGAAGAAGATGAACAGTAAAATCCTTAGAGGAAACTTTTTTTTTTCTTTCGGCGAAGAGAAATGAGGAATAGTTATATTTAGAGAGTCGTGCTGATAACGTGTTATAAATAGGTAAAAGTTAAAGAGATAACCTTTACTAGTGACAGGAGCGGATCAGGTGTAAAATATCACACTATAATTGTAACACAAGGGAATGACTAATAAAAGTGGGAGGAATAGATATTGATATTAATTATCTTTTCTTTCTTTCTCTTTTCTATATTTTGATTGCAGTCCAGTGCTCTATATATAGAGCAACTCGCATTATTACATGGTGAAATTTACATCACATGACTTTGAAAATGCAATCCGTTTGTTTCCAAAGTCTACATCACATTTGTGGGCATTGAAAAACCTGCGTGTGGGCATTCATAACAATACCAATGTTTTCAACACATAAAAACATCCTGGAAAGAGATGGATATATATCAGTTTTTTAGAGTGATTTTCTCAATCAGAGACTTGGTATCTATTCCTTTGCCATAGAAGTTTTCAAGGAATTCTTGGGCAGTGAAGTCTCGATAAACTGGTGGTTTCTCAGGTGACAAAAGCTCCGGAAGAGGTCCACAGTAACCATCTTCTCTCCATTTGGATAGGTTGAAAAATATCACGACGGAGATCCGAGCTTCTTTCCAAGAGTTTGCCAACACTCTGTGTTGTACACTTGTGTACTCCCCGTTGGAGATTATCTGCAGCCTCAGATAAAAACACAAAGGGTATAAACCTAATTGGACAGAGAAATAAATAATCAATTTAAATAAAAAGAAAGAAAGAAGCAATAGTCAAACCAAACTTTGAAAAAGTATGGCCATTATAGATTAGTTCACGTTTTAATTAACTATGGTCGTGATTGATGCATATTCATGGTGAGGAAATGGATCCATTTTTCTATTATTCTTCATAGAAAAAGGTAAGATTTGGTCAAGATACATATGCATGTATCCTCCACCTTTAAGCTTCATTGAAAAGTTCTAAAACTTTGTTTAATTGTAAGAATAAGCCGCATGCATGGTATTCAATAAAAACGGCAATATCCATCTTTACGTTGAAATATTAAAAGAGATTTAAGGAGACGGAAATAAACAAAGTTTACAAAACGACAAAAAATACGAGGTGAATCATAGACCAAACAAAAAAAAGAAAATTAGTGGAAATGATTTGAAAACTTTGAGTTTTAATCAAAATGATAAAAATATGTTGTAAGTAAATAGTACTAGAAATGACTTTTTAGAGTAAAAATGTCATTTTAGTTAGAAGTGAATATTACCGGGAGTGTTTTGTTAAAACTCCCAACAAAAAATCGACAACCTTCCTTGTTTTTCTGGTAGAGTAATGTTAGGGAGACTAAATTTGTAGACTAAATTAGCAGACTAAATGAGGTGTCATAAATAAAAAATGAGCACGTTTATCAACGATTAAGTAATAATCCAATCATCAACTTCCATATCATTTAGTTTACAAAATTTAATCTATAAATTTAGTCTCTCTAGCATTACTCTTTCTCCAAGAAATCTTTTACTTTTGTCCAAGTAGAAATTGGAAAAGTTACTGTATCCATGACAGTGCTGTGTACAGTGCCGACGATGTAGTGGTGAATTCAACTAACTATAACACAAATGTCAAGTAAAATCAGGGGATATACTCTTGTTACTCAATATATCACAGTTGGACGAAAAATTGTTCATGCAAGAGACAATATAAACATGATATTGCCTCGTTGGATTTACCTGAAGTAAGTCTCCAACGTTAATAATTAAACCTCCAGGCACAGGCTTCACATCCAGCCACTCATTTCCATGCCTAACTTGCAACCCAGGCACATGGTTCTGCAACAAAACTGTTATAATCCCAGGATCAGTATGTGCCGTAATCCCCACAGTCCGATCAGGCTGGGGACAGTAAGGATAGCAGTGCCCCAAAAGCGCCCTCTTATCTGAAAACGTTAACTCCTTAAACCTCCTTCCCTCCAACCCTAACCCTTCTGAAAGCAACTCCATCACGTCCTCCGCTACCTTGGTTGCATGCAAATCCCATGCAACCACCTCTTCCCTACAAGCCTCAGGTATCTCCTCCACCTCTGGCCTCTCCGGACTCATCCACACTTGTAGTGAGTCGTGCCAGCTGGCAGCCGTCGTGCGGTACAAGTCGTTATTGCTAGCATACATGACTCCCTTTCCCTCCTCTCGCTTGTAGTATTTGGATTTGACCTCATGGGGCTGCTCGTGGAACGCTTTGACAGCGTTGACCGTTTTGCCCAAAACAGAAACAGGCACTCCATGGTTGATGACTTGGAAGAAACCGAAGTTCTGGGCTGCGGATTTCACTTGGTCAACAATTTTGGGGCGGTGGGCAGCGGAGTTGATGTGGGAAAGGTCGATCGTGGGGATGGTGGTGGTGCTGTGTTTGTACGGCGGTTTGAGATCGGACAAAGTTTGAGGGTCGTGGATAAAAAATTGAGGGATGGAAGTAATGCCAGAATCGGAGAGACCCTTGACTCCCATCTTTGACTCGTCGAATTCTTTCACTTCCTTCATGCGGTCGTACAGAGTTGCATCAATATTTTTGGCTGCCATTTTCTTAGCACAACTGAGAATTAGAACTTTCAATCCAATAAAACAATATGTTTGTGCGTCTCCCTTTCTTTCATCCAACGATATTTAAAGGCGGGGATGCGTTTAGTGCTCTTTATTTTATTTTATTTTTTAACAAAAAAAGAAAAATAATGTAGATAGTGCTTTTTATTTTTAATCCTTTTTTTGGTGCCAAAGTCATGACGTACTGCTCATGAAATTTCCATTTTACGTAGTCATTAGTGTATGTCCTTTTTATTTAGAGTAATGCTAACAATATTAAATTTGAAGATAAAATTTTGAAAACTAAAGGACATGAAAGTTAATGATTGGTTTATTATTTAAGTGTTGATAATGTGCTCATTTATATTGGTGACACATCATTTAGTTTGCAAATTTTATCTTCCTAGCATTACCCTTCACTTAATTAGTGTCATTTGGTTCTAAAATATCACTACCAAATTACCCATATATATATAGAATAAATTTTACAAATTAAAGGACATGGAAGTTTATGATTGTAGTATTACTTAAGTATTGATTAACGTCCTTATTTCTTATTATTGATACACCATTTAGTTTACAGATTTAATCTACTTAATATGAGTCTTAACTTGAATAATCACTACTAGGTCCTGGGCCGTCCAGTGTCCGAGGAGTGTTATTGAGGCCCATAATTCTGATATTATTTAGTTGACTTGTTCTTAAGTATTTAATCTGGAATTACTGTTAGATTCTTACTAAACCTTATGGCTCCTAAACAGGTTTTAGCGACCAAATTATTGGTCACCGAGTGATTTCTTCAACCTCGTAACCAATTCTGCTATGTGCATAGGTCAGTAATCTGCAAAACTTTAGCGACCACTGACACATAATATTAAGCAAGTGGTGTGTGGCTTGTGTAGGTAAGAAGTTCTGCGGGCTGGTCCTGTGAGGGATCAAGCAAACCCGGTGACTCTCAAGAGCCATCTTCTCATGAAAAAAAGTGATAATTAAGCTCAATGATGCGTGAGCGGCACAAAAATATTTGTAGCCATGTACGTAGCACTAGGACTGTAATTATAGAAATCTAGGACAAAATCAATATGAAGTCATGATGTTTAAATATCGAAAGGAATCAATATGTTTGAACGACAAATTTATGTCAAAGAACATGATGTAGGACAAAAATCACATTATTTTGCTAAAGAGACTTTCTCAAAGTACAACTCTCCTTATACTCTTCACCACCTGATTTTTTTGGCACAATATTTATGATGTTGGCTGGAGAATTGTGTCAAAAAGATGAGGTGATAAAAATTTTATAGAGAGCCCCACTTTCGAAAGAGTGGATCAGAAGTAATTAATATCACTAGATTTATATAGTTGTGCAACAAAAGTAGGAAAAAAAAAATTGAACATATATTGTGACGATTGATTTACTTCAAGCAAATGTCCAACGTTGATATTCAGGATTCAGGGTTTAGGGTTTAGAAATGCCCAAAAAGCGCCCTCTTATCCGAAAAAGTTAACTGCTTAAATCTCCTTCCCCACAATCCTAACCCTTCCGAAATCATCTCCACCACGTCTCGCCCCGTTGGTTGCATGCAAATCCCATGTAATATGACCTCTTCCCTGCACACCTCAGGTATTTGTTCTGCCTTGGGCCTCTTCGAGCTCATCCACACGAATGAGGATCCTCTCTGGATCCTCTTTGTGAGGATCACAGGAATCTTCCAATCATATCAATTCATCATATATCGTGC